TCTAACACAAACCAGTCTGGGATTCTGTGACAGTCTCCTAAATACACGAGTAATACTCATTCCTCCTTGGTGTTGATGTGCAACACCCATGATATCTCACTGTCCCCATTATTGTCAGTCCAGAGGTATTGGACCAAGTGTTCTCTGTCCCCAGTACCCCATGCAGATCCGCTGCTGCTTTTCATGGCCAAACCACCCACTGCTTTCACGCTGATCTTGCTCTTGTTCAAAGTGGAATGTTTCATTTTATGGGTTCCTTACCGGTGTGCTGTGCAAGACATTTGCTTGCAGAGACCTCCTGCTGTTCCCAAAAGGGTATGACACAAAAATAGGCCTTTCTTAAAAGAGTTATCTACTAAGAGATAACCTTATGATTATATTTTCTTTCTACACTTCACTGACTGTTCCTAAGCACCGTGCAGAGCTGCTCCGAGCAGGATTTCCCTCCTCCAGGAGTGGATGGTTTTGATCTGGTGCAGAGAATGGCGTAAAGGTCAAGCAGCGTGCTGACTTGTAACTGTTCTCTGGAACTCATAACCTTACCGGAGTTTATAGCCTCCAAGCGCAGTCCCCAGGAGGGAACCACCCTTCTCGTGAGCAGCCATTCAGTGGGCTCAGCTGAAATTTAAACGTAGAGCTGCCTCCTCAGAGGCCAGGGGAAGGGAGCCCTGGCTCTGCGTAACGTGTGCGCACATGGCACACCCTGAGCAGCAACTGAGCTTCGTCCCAGCCCCTCTCTGAGTGCGGGAGCTCCGGGTGTGCCTGGGGATGACTCGAGGGATGGGCTTCAAGCCAAAAACGGCCGCAGAGGAAGCGCTGTTCCCAAGGGATCGCTGTCAGGTGGATGGGACTGGTCTGGTGGCTCAGGGAACTCCATGGGAATACCTGTTTATCCAAAAAGCTGTACTCGTTTGTAATGTACTTGCTTGTAGCATCCTGCCAAATGCCCTCCCTCACATGCCAAGCTGAAAGCCAGGGAAACTGTTGCTGCTGGGGCCATGCATGTGTCTGATCCAGGGAGTCTTTTTGTGGACGCAGAATGGGGAGGAATTTTGGCTGTCAGAAGCAGTGTGATATTGCTCAATCATGTCTGAATTCTTTGGGTTAATTTGAGGAATGGGAACACCTCAGCTGCTGTACGGTTTCTTCTCAGCTCATTCAACTGCGGTTAAAGTGGTTAAAGGGGACCCTGTTGCTCTCTTGCCTCTGTGTTCCTGAAGGGATGAGTGTAGAGAAAAGCGTTTTCTCTCCCTCCTCTAAACGTAACTGTACTTTTGCACATTTTGAGTAAAAGTGTATTTCCTTTCAGCTGCTGATTCTGGATTAGAATCCATGTATACTGTTAATTGAATAATCATTTGGAGGCACCAGTGCTTCCAAGGGGGTTAGTGTGAATTTTTCTGTTTTCAGGGGTTATTTTCTTACTCACCTGGTTCTTTTCTTTATCTCCCTTAACATTTAGTCAAGCGATTGGGTGGAGAAAGCCACAGGAGAGATGCAAGAAGCGCAAGCATAAACTAATACCAACATGCCTGTGTGTGTTATGCCCAAGAACCCATCCATATGGAGCCAATCCCTTAGGGAGCAGGGCACAGGTGGGAATGCAAAGCTCAGCCAGTTCTTGTGGGAAGTGTTTCCTCCGAGCACAGGCAATGCCACACACAGAGCAGCTGTGTTGTGAGCAGGCACACCTTGTGCAGATGCCTTATCGGTCTGATGAGGGCAGGCGCTGGGTACCAGCAGTGGTTGTGTCATCGTGGTCCCTGATGCTGCTCTGACAGAAAGAGAATAGAGGAGTCATGAAACCAACCCCTTTGTGTCCCCACAGCGATGTGTGTTCCTGATTTTGAAGGGTGAGAATTCTAGCACCAAACCAGTGTGCGATCTGGCTCTGAATTCTCTAGAGAGGTGGTTCGTAAGCACAGGACTGTCATCTTGTCTTTGGCCTGTTGAAAGAAAACCTCCCCATCTTAGGACATGCCTCCTGCAAAGAACAGTTGAGTGAGTGGAAGGATTTCTTGTGAAGGTGTGCAATGAAACCTGGAACACACCTGGTAAGAGTCTGGGAACTGTGTTCAGTTTATACGGTTGTCACAGAACTAGCTTATGTCTTGGTAGCTTATGTCCAGGCAGCATTCCCTTCCTACCAAACGGAGGAATCAGCCGGGGGTTGTGAGATGCTCAGGAGTGACAGTGAGGAGGCCAGTGGAGCTGATTCTCCTGCAGGCAGTGGCTCCCTGTAGCAGGTATGTGACACTGGGAGAACAGGAGGTGGAGGTGGCTGGTCTGGAATTCGGTTCTGCTGTGATGGCTTCCCCAGTGTCACCAGAAGGCCAGATTAGAGAAGATTCTGTATGAAAGCAGGATGTGAAAGTGTACAAAAGCTGCAGCAGAAGCGAGGAAAACCCTCTTCAGGCTTACGCTTTGCTATCCAGGGCACAAGGAATTCACAGAAACATTGTGGGAATATAGAAATCTTTTATAAGTCGCCAGGGCCTGCACAGCAGGACAAAGAAATGTGCATCTGGCCTCAATGGTGGGAGCAGAAGATGGCTGGGGGGGGCAGTGATCCAGCCTTGTGTAAAGTAAAGCCCTTGAACAAATGCTGTCACTTCTCTTGCAGGTGATTGCCCTTGTGATGGATGCCTTCACAGACACTGATATCTTCAGTGACCTTCAGGATGCCTATAACAACCGCAAAGTTCCTGTCTACATCCTTCTTGACCAGGGCTTTCTACCCCATTTCTTGGAAATGTGCAAGAATTTGGGAGTCTGTCCCGAGCAGGAAAGTGTAAGTGCTGACTGTGGGTGCCTGCGCGTGGTTTGATTTTTTTGTGGTACACTTTATGGTTATGGATGTCAAAGTTGCACTTCTGCAAACCAGCAGACTCCCTTGAAAGAGCACAGCCTCCTGTCTGTTTGGTAACTGGTGTAAAAGGGGGTTTTCTGACATGTTTCTCAGCTCCTGAAGATCAAAGCTCAGTATCGCATGGTTTCAGTGCGGTCTAATCCAACATGTGAAACTGCTCACAAACGCAGCGAAAGCCATGCAGAAAAGGCACGTGTCCTCTGCTGTGCTTCCTGTGTGCAGGAGCTGCAGCCGTGCCATGCACCTGCCCTGTGTGGGTCGGGTGTGCACTGTGATCCCCGTCCCGAGGAAGCAATTGATCTTGCGAGATGTAAGTAGCTTTGTTCTTTGGCTCAAGGAACTGCTTGCTGAGGAAGCAGAAGCACGGCTCAAGGGAGGATGGCTCTGGTACCATCTCTTTGCTTTCCTAATACGTGGTTGCTTTCTTTTGAAAGGGTTTGGATGATGTGACCCAGGTGATTTATTAATTCCTCTGAATATAGGCTGACATGACTGTTACCGCATGGCTTGGAATGGCTTATGTTCACTCCAGTGAGAGCTCCTCTGGATGGGGAACCCTTCCAGCCTCCTGGGCAGTAACGAATCAGAACTGGCTGTTCTCTCCACAGACTCTCCTCGTCTAACAGAAATTTAACTAGCAACACGTGCAGACAGCATGAGGAAGTTCATTGCAATCCCATCTTCTTTAGTGTGCCTAGCTGCTTTTAGGTAGAATTGCTAATCAAAACTTTTTGGAAGTTCACTTAGATCTGTTATTACTTTTTCCCTTTTCTGAAACAGCTGCTGAGAGTTCGAACCCTCACAGGGAGCACGTACTACCTGAGATCAGGTGCCAAAATTGTTGGGAAAGCCCACGAGAAGTTCATGTTAATTGATGGCATTAGAGTGACAACAGGCTCCTACAGGCAAGTATTGGGGTCTGATGGTGCTGGTGAAGCTACAGAAAGGGGGGGGTTCTGCAAGAAGAATGTATGACCTCTGCTGTTTGCCTGGTATTAACGAAAGCCAATGGCAAGTGGACTGGCTGCGTCTAGGTGGGGCTAATGCAAAACTGGAAACAGCTTTGGAAAACTGTTTTGCACAACTTGTTGCTAGCAAAGCACTTGGCCATGGCTAAATAGAGCTCTTCCTGAAGAAGAGAGAATGAATAGTCTGTCAGCTTTATACCTTTCTTTATGCACAGCTCTGCTAAGCTGAGTCTTGCTATCTGTATGTTATGTGCTGAAACTCACTGGGGATTAACTGTGGCTCTTGTTTTGTTCTCAATAGTTTCACATGGTCCGATGGGAAGCTGAACAGCAGTAACTTGCTGCTATTGTCAGGGCAAGTGGTTGAACACTTCGACTTCCAGTTCAGGATTCTTTATGCTCAGTCAATGCCCATCAGCCCTAAGTGTCTGTCCAGCTGCAGGAACAGTGGGATATTTGATCACCTGGTGAGCAGAATAGAGTCCTCTAAAGAATATACTGTGGAAGGCAACTTGAGAGCAGAATTTGCCAGATTGTCTAGTACTCCAAAGAAACTATTGAAAGAACCAGATCAGGCTGAAGATAGTTCTGGAGAAAACTCTTGTAACCTGGGGCATTCTTGCCTCTCTGAAGGGGAGTGGTTCAGCAATCAAGTGGCCATTGTGGAACGGAGAAGCACATCGACTCAAACTGGCCCATGGGAAGAGAAGCGGGCAGTGCCTGTGTGTAATGCTGCCACGCAGACCTATTCTGTGACAGCAGAAACTGGCACGCAGGCATCAGTTGCTGCTAGAATGATGGGCACTCAGACTTCGGTCTTGTTGAAGACTGCAGTGACACAGACAAGGGAAGATGAGTACACAGAAACACCCCTGCTTCACAGAAAGTTGTCAAAAGAAGGATCTCTGTCTGGAAAGGCTGTATCAAGTTCTAGTCTGTGGTCACTGTCTTCATCCTCATCCCAGTGCTCTCTTGCCAGCTCTACTGGCTCTGTTTCTTCCCTCCGGTCCTTTGAATATCCTATCGGTCACAGGGCAGAGTATTTCCAGAAGCTGCACAAGGAGAGGCAGTTTCACTACTCAACTATCAGGTCAAAGCTGAGCCACATGGTGCACATCCTGTCCCGAAGGGGACGTGAGCCTGAAAGCTACGTGTCCCAGTACACGGGAAGATGCCACCTGAAACAGAGGCGTGACATCAGTGGCAGCCTGCGCAGCCTCCGGGACCTTTCCCTCTATTCTCTGAATAAACGATGACTGCACTGACTGCAGAACACACAAGCTCCAGTCTCAAACTGCAGTCACTCTGTTCCTGCCGATTACCCCACTGCCTTCCAGGACTTTTCCTTTTTTTTAATACACGTGTACGTCCCCCTTCAGCACTTTGTTTTATACTATGCAGTTTAAGCAATAAAAAGAAGAGGTGTTTATTTATATGGTAACTACTTACATGTTCCTCTTATATGTGTTAGTGGTGAAGGTTCCTTTTAATTCTGGATGTATAACCTGGAAAGTAAACTGATTACTGCTTTCTAGGATTGGTAATGCTCTGGCTTGATGCACATTTGGAAGAACCCAAGTCAGATGGGTCCTGCTCGGATGCAGATTCGGTGACATCAATGTATACTCCTTTTTTTTAATATTGGCTTTTTTCCTACTTTATCTTTGGCATGAGGGGAAACAACTTTTATAAAGAGCCATAAAGCTGATTTTATTCTGACTTCAGCAATATTTACATTACTTTTCCATTAAAGTTGTGAAAGGGTCTAATGGAGCTGCTGCAAGTTCTTATCTTCAACTGTATCCTTTGCCCATCATTCAAACCTTCTGAAATGGGCTGAGCTAATTTAGCTTTTCAGTTTGATCATCCCCTCGTGCTTTTGTGTAGATACATATATACACACACACACTTTTGTGTATATGCATGTGTGTGTATGTGTGTGTGTGTGTATATATATATATACACACACATCCTCAGAAGAGCATCACTTTAAAACCCAGACAGGAAAGTAGCAACTTTGCACTCCACTATAGCTGTACCCATTTTAGAGACAGTAAACCATGTAAATGTTTTCAGTAGTTGGAACTAAAAGCTGGATCTATTGGACCTGTACCACTACTGATGGGAAGGTGGTGTTGAAGTGTTGGGTTTTGTGCTTGAGAGCAGAGCTGAGATGGTATCTGGAGTTTGTGTCTTGCTGCTCCACCCGTTGGACTTCTCTTTTGGAATGACTTCAAGGAACTTGTGCAACTTGTTACACAGAGTTGAGACTTTCAGTCCTAGCACTGTAAAATGAGCGTCCAGCTCTGGCTCAGCCTAGGAACATCTGAGCCATCTTGGTTCTATGAAGAGACCTGTACAAAATGTAGAGGTGAGCCAACCACAGGGCACATGACAAAGCCCCTGTTTAAAAGCAAACTGGCATGCACTACAAAATGCTATGGGCTATGTTTGGTAATGTTGGACAAGGTTAAGAGTGAGAAAAAAACCACCCCCAAACCCACCCTTTCTCTTTAAACTGTCCTACCTGAAATATCCTCTGTTTTCTGCTCTGCTTATCCTTTCTCCCCTACTAGCTTGGTTTTAGGAGCTGCAGTGCCGCTCTAGTTTTTCAATATATTCTATTTTCAGTACTAAATGCATCCTAGGTTAAGTTGCTTTGCAGAGGCATGACATGGCTCTGCGAGCAGCAGTCTGCGTGTGTCTGCACTTGCTGCATTACTCTTCTGAGCAGTGCGGAGGGTCTGAGACCTGACCTGTGCTGTTCTCCTTTGGCCCTGCATGTGAATGACCAACCGGGCTGTTCTGCCAAGTCAAACCAGGGCCTGGGCTGTGTATTTTCCCATTTATCCCCACGTGTCCAGTAGATGGCACATTTCAGCTGTTGTCTTTAATATTCCTGTAAACAGCAAAGAAAGGGGGAATAAACCGAAAAATATCCAAACCACAGAAAGGCTGCAAGTCCAGTGTAAACAGCAATGCTGCTTATACTGTTTACAGATATCCATGTAGCATAAAGAGGCTTAGCTGCTTTTGTTGCTTGGATTTCAAAGCAGCCACTCCTGTAAGGAAGGAGGCAGACGTACAGAGGCGTGCAGATTGAGGCAGAAAAGCTCTGTCTGTGCTTAAGAGGTAGGAAACTGGTCCCACGCGTTGAAACAACGGGGAGTGAAGTGAGTAGCAGAAAGTGAGCTCAGATGCACTCTCAAAGCCAATTTCGAGTGCCTGTGCTCAGCAGTGCTTCAATGTATGTAAAACCAAGGTACGTGCTATGTACCTTTATTACACTGTGCAGCTGTTACGGTGCTCTCACAAGAACAAGAACCAGTTTACAAATAAACTCATTTTGCCGCGGGGGTCTTCACCTGATCGTTGCAGAGCTTTGTTTTCTGTTTGTTTGGTGTTTTGGACCCCGACGTCTCTTCAGCACCTCCCTGTGCTTGGAGCTCGCCTGCTGCCCTGGGCTCGCAGAGCAGGCTGTGCTGGGGCGCCTGCCCGGGGGGGCGCCTTGGCCGTCCCCAACCTTAGGAGCAGCCCTTTGATCACTGAGGCAGCAGCGCCAGGGCTGTATTTCCTCTCCCCGCTTAATGCCAGGTTTGAGCGTTCGCGGATGCTTCTTCCCTGGGCGGCTGATC